CAGAAAACAGAGCAAGGGAAAGAGGACACAAGAGGGCAGCAGAGGACAACAAATGGAAAACCAAGACTGTGACAGATTTTGGGCCTCCAGTTCTTCCCTGATCTCTGTTTTCACGCCTTTGTCGGCTCTGACCTGTTTTTCAGGCCATTTCTATAGTTGGAGACGAGGTGTTCAGCTTCAGCATGAGTCTGACCCCGAACGCCACAGAAGGACCTGGCTACACCGACACGTCTAGGACCGATGGCAGGGTGAAGCTGTCGGTGGGCTGTATCCGGGTGGTCTACCTGCACAAGTTCTTCATGTCTCTGCTGGTGAGTCCGACGCCGCCATGACGTTCTCCCGGTTTCCCTTTCACCCAGAAATATCAGTCTTAATTGTTCCTCTTTTGATTGATCAGAACTTCAGCAATAACTTCCAGACGGCTAAAGAAGCTCTGAGCTCCGCCACGGCTCAGGCTGCAGAGAAAGCAGCGTCCAGCGTCAGAGACCTTGCCCAGAAGAGCTTCCGTCTGTCCATGGCTGTCAGGGTCAAGGCCCCCCTCATCATCATCCCTCAGTCCTCCACTTCCAAGAATGCCATTGTGGTGGATTTGGGTCTCATCACGGTGGAGAACAGCTTCTCTCTGGTGACGGTTGCAGGATGTTCGCTGCCGGCCGTGGTGGACAGCATGGATGTGCAGCTATCGGAGCTGAAGCTGTCCAGGTCAGCACAGCTTTCCACATATTGCCCTAGAAAACGGTTTCAGCCCGACTGGCATCAATCTGTGATCTCCTTCAGGACCTGGTCCGACTCGGAATCGGAGAAACCCAACATTGAGCTGCTGAAGCCAGTGAACCTGCTGCTGAACATCCGGAGGAACCTGTCAGCTGGCTGGTACAGGAAGATGGCCGCCGTAGAGGTCAACGGAGACCTGAAGCCCATGAAGGTAATAGCATCACAACGATGATGAAAACACGAAGGTGGTCTGTGATCGTCCTGATCAAGGTGGGGGGGGGGAAATGTTTCATGATTTTCTGGTTCTCCCCGATCATAACTCATCAACGGGCTGCCAGGTAAGCCCACATCATCACTCCCCCATCACTGTGTTTGACAGCTCTCTAGGATCTTCTCCTCTTAGGAAGAGGGATAGAGGTCTGGAGATGATCTTACGAAAGTAACATTTATTTATTTTTGCAGTTTTCTTATTAAAGCAGGCAGACCAGGGGTCATGTAACAGGACACGGGTTGAATGATCCACCAGCATAAAGGCTCAGTGATGCTTGACAGGTGCAAATGAGACGCACCGTCTGCAGCGTTTATACTCCGTATGGGGTCTCTACCTGTACCTGACATTCTGGCTGACTCCATGTGGCGCAGGCTTCAACGCCACACATGTAGAAAAAGGAACTTCCAACATGTTTCCAAGCTGTCTGCCTAGTTCAATCATGTCCAGGTTGTGCAGTATGTAAAAGTGGGTTCTAAATTTATTTTACTTGGCTCTGTGAACTTGGTGGACGTGTAAAGTAAAAACCAGGCTTAACCGCACTTTCAAAATAGTACAATTTCCAGATGTTCAACATTCAATGGGAGAGAGACACCATCTTATGTAGGTGGAGATGGTTGATGCTAGTATCAGCCAACTCCACCTACATAAGGTGATGGCTATTGCCACACAGACAGGAAGTGAGCAGAAAAGTGCTTTTAGACTGCTCCGCATGGGAAACAATCCACCGACAACTGACCCTGGAGCAGAACAATTCAATTAAACCACGGAGCCAAGACTCTACTACAGACTCTACTATAGACTCTACTATAGACTCTGCTATAGACTCTGCTATAGACTCTGCTATAGACTCTACTATAGACTCTACTTTAGACTCT